AACTTAAGAAATATTAAAAATAAAGCATAAAAAATTATCCTTTAGTGAATAAAAGACTGAAAACTTCCCTTCTGCACTTATTTCTATATTTCTATACTTACTACTTATTTAAGACATTGATTCTACATTACCTCTTGGATAGAATAAGAAATTTCCATTATCTATGGGAAATACGACGTTCATACAAAATAAATAAGTAAAGTTAAAATCAAAGAGCATTTGTGCCATAACCAGTTTGGCTCAAATGGATAGAGCGTCGGCCTGCGGACTGAAAGGTCCCAGGTTTGATTCCGGTCAAGGGCATGTACCTTGGTTGCGGGCACATCCCCAGTGGGAGATGTGCAGGAGGCAGCTGATTGATGTTTCTAACTCTCTATCTCTCCCTTCCTCTCTGTAAAAAAACAATAAAATATCTTTAAAAAAAAGAGCATTTGTATTCAATATTTTTTAAAAGTTTAAAGCATTTTCTTACCTTCATAAGCTGTTCCACACCAAATACAATACAGAGGTGTTTCTCTTAAATAACTCGTCAATATCTGTAATTTCTCCAGTACCTAGATATAGGACACAAGCACATTAATGGTTCACATTGACCGGGATGTTGGTTTTCTGGTCTCTGGGATCATGCTGAACTAGCCCAAGGTCATAAATCTTCTGCTACACTCTCTACCAGTCAGGAATGGTGTGAAAGGCAGAATGTTTTAGCATGTGTCCCACTTTACCAGCTACCCTGATTATTTTCGCAAGTTTTCCAGACAGAATAAAGACTACATGTTAACATTCAGAAATAGAATTTGGCTGGATCTATTAGGATGAGGATTGTTTAAAGACCACTTCTACTTTCAAAGAATCTACCTTCCCCGGTGGGATGAGGGAGAGCACTGCCTCCCTGTGCCATTACAGTTCTCATCAGTGGTCTCCCATTTAAGTGGAACATAGGTTTTTCAAATTTTGAATGTTTCCTACCAAAGTCTTATGTACATGTAACCACAGAAATGTG